GCTGCAGCACCGAGGACGTGCCGAGCGATGGAACCTCACAGGCTCTGCTGAGGAGGGAGGAGGAGACACCTCTGGGAGGGTGAGCAGAGCTGGTTCTCAGTGACAACAAAATGCACTCGGTCCCCCTCACTGCTTGGCACCTATTTGGGTTTAAAACTGCCCAGAGAGCAGCAGCTACTGAGGAAGAAGAAGGGGAGAGTGAGGCCCAAGCAGTGCCGTGTCCCAGCACTGCAGCTCCAGCTGCTGCACATCTTCCCCCACCAGCAGCAACCACAGACTGATTTCAGAGACAGGTCCCCAGGCTTTTGTTATTATGTTTTATACTCCAGTGAGTAAATGCATCAGGAAAAAAAAAAGCAGCAAGTCCTAGAAAGCACCAGCCATTTCTAAGCTGAGGAGGGCAACGCATTGAGCTCTGTGAGAACTGGAACACGAGCAGTGAGAAAAGGGCCCAGGGACAAAGCACAGAGGAGCTGGTGGCCCTGCAGCAGCCTCAGAGTCCCTGAAGGGTCATCCTGCTGGATCAGACACTGGCTGGGTTTCAAACCATGTTTACAGTTCCCATTACTGCAAATTCTAGAGCAGGCAAAGCCTTGTTATTATTCCTGCCCAAACACCCCCCCAGCTCCTGATCAACTGGCTGCCAGTTGGACCAACAGAACCAGCTGGGGAGGAAACACTGCCAGGACGTGGCTCTCGCCCGCCCAGCCACATTTCCACCACTGACCAGGACACAAATGGTCCCATCCTGCCCATCCTGCCTGGACCAGTCCCAGCAGAGCCATCTCCACAGGCTCAGAGGGTGCTCGTGGGCACAGTCAGGGGGGTTTCCACCTCTCAAGAAAACCACCTGCAGAATTCAGCCAGGCCATGGATCCCTCAGACCACACATCCCTCTGTTCCAAAGTGAACAGGCTTTACTCTAAGTAGAGCAATCCTTTCGTTTGTCATTGAAGTGGAGTTTTAAAATGTCTCTCTTGTAAATGTGCCAAAAATAAGGGCATAATTTATTCATTTTCTCTATATGCATTTTGTTCCCAGTTATCTTCCCGACTATTTGACTGCTGTGAAAAGGTAAAAAAAGGGAAAAAAAAAAAAAGGCAACTCTAAAGGTTAAAACTTTGAGCCAATTTCAACTTCAACATACATTAGAGCAGTGCATTTTTCATTCATTCCTCCTGGTGACATTTCAAGCTTTGTTACAAATCAATCAGCATTTCCAAAAGCATTTGGAGAAGCAGGAAACTATCGTGGCTACAAATCCTACAACATCTATTATTCTTGCTGTTTCACTCATTGTGATGAAAAACATTTCAAAGGTTATTTTAAAAGGAGCAAAGATTTGTTTGAAGTTTCAGGACAGACAAAGGATTTCTGTGCAATGTTTCACAGCACAATAAACTTTAGCAATATACACAGAATTTATTTCATCATGAATTTGGTCAAGCATTCAAAAGGCTGGAGCCTGGAAGAGATGGAAGAGATACATATAACAGCAGGAATATAACAGGGGAATAGGTAAGGTGCCTAAGATGTCCTTCCCAAGGAATGTCAGGACTATGAAGTATTATATGTGAGTTAAACAAACACACAATGCCTTCCAAACCTTCCTGCAGGGCCAGAGAGCAGCATTTCTAACAAGATACTGCAGGTATTTTTCTTCCAGCCAATCATGCCTGCTGATTCCATAGAATCCCAGCATCATCAAGGTTGGAAAAGACCTTTGAGATCCTCAAGTCCAACCTTCACCTGAGTACCCCTATGCCCACTAAACCACGTCCCCAAGTGTTGTTGGAACACCTCCAGGGATGGTGACTCCACCACCACCCTGGGCAGCCTGTGCCAAAGCTCAACCACTCTTCCAGTGGAGATATTTTTCCTGATACCCAACCTGGCACAACTGTAACACAAATTCATTTTAGTGCCCAAGGAAGGAGCTCTTCCATGTGGACAGCCCAGCAGTGCTGTGTCAGGGGTGCTCTCCTTGAAATCACACACTGACATCCGCTTTACCTTTCCAGGGAGACCAGGAGCAGTGTCCTCTGGGATGGGACACAGGGAAGGGTTAGGGCGAGGCTTAGGCTGGTTCAGTGTGAAGCTGGACAGTGCTCAGAGAGCAGAGCTCCCTCGGGCTGTCCCTGCTCACCCCACAGGAGCACATCGTGTGCAGGGGAGGGACCAGCCCTCCCTCCCCGTGCCCCCTTGTCTCCCTCAGCACATCGGCCACCCCTTCCCTGCTCCCCTGTCCCACCCCTCCATCCCAGCAGGAGCAGCCCCTGTGCAGCCGGAGGAGGCTGAGCCAGGCAGGGATGAGCTGGGATAGAGGGTTATCCTGATGTGCACAGCTGGGATAGAGGGATATCCTGATGTGCACAGCTGGGATAGAGGGATATCCTGATGTGCACAGCCGGGCTGCCCAGGGTGTTATCCCAGACCTCACTGCTCCTCTTTGATTGGGAACCTCACAGGGATCAACCACCACTCAAGCTCAGGGAGGGCCCCATGCCCAGGAGATGATAAGAAGGACAAAGAATCCTCAAACCTGCACAAGGCCAGCCTGGCAAAGCCAGGCTTAGTACTACCTTCCCACCAGGGACCTGCCAGGGCTGATGCCAGCTGGGCAGGGCAAACCCAACAGTCCCAGAGAATGGGCAGAGCCCTTCCCAAAGTGACATATCTCCTGGTTTCCCATCTCAATGCAAGCAGAGACCAGCTGGAATCACGTCGTGCCCAGACTGGCCAGCGGGGCACTGGGAGGAGGATGGAGGTGCCACATGATGGGTAATTCCCAGCTCTCAGCCTGTCATTCCTGGTTCCCATCACTCCAAAGGAGGAGGAATATATGGGCCTCTGAGTGACACTGTTCTCTGTCTGGGCTCACAGAGTGTGGAGTCTGGGGAGCACCAGGGAGGAGCCAGAGAAGAGCCTTTCCATGAGTGATAAGCAGCCCTTCCTCATCTCCCATTTCTGCCTTGCTTCCCAACCCTTGGGAAGAGCTTGGACAGAGCTTCCCTCAGCCTACAGAGGGTGATGGATAATGAGGCATGAAGTGACATGGAGTCACACACAAGGATGCTTTACGTTGGAAAATGGGAATGCTGTATATTACTGTCTGTGGTCTCCCTAACCCTGGGGCAGCTCCTGCAACCACTGCCCTGGGAATGCTTTTAACACACTCCATGAGGGAGGAATGCAGAGATATTGCTGTGGAAATCAAAAGGGTCCAGTTCTGCTTTAAGCTTTCTTTAACCTGTCCAAATGGATGCTCTCATGTCCCAGGCTGTCTTTTCCCCTTATCCAAACACAAATGAGAAAGAAATTCTACCCTGCACCTTGAGACTCAACAGGAGGGTTTCCCTGACCCTTCTGGCTCTTCAGTCTCTGTGTAAATCATCCTAAATCAATTCTAATTCCATTTCCCTTTGCAGGTTTCATTCATGCAGTAAACGATAGACTAAAACTTGCCATCAAACTTTGTTAAATCACACTTTACAAACTCAAATTAAATCCCCTTTTGCCAATACCTTTGTCAGGGATTCTTTAAGGGACCTAAATCACTCATCTGTGACACAAGGCAGAGCTGGAGCAGCTCCACCACCATCAAAGGGTAAAATAATAATAATTCATTGTTAGGACAAAAGCAGATTCTAAGTCTCTTTGCTAGGAGTGGACCCAAATTTAAAAACCCTGCACAGATGCCTCTAGCAGGTTCCTGCTTGTCTTCATGGTTTCATCAGAGCTATTTCTGTTCCAGGATGTTATGCACGTAATAATTTTTTCATTAGGTAGGAAACAGCTTTTATTTGATCAATTTACCCTATTTTTCTGTTCATGGATTTAGTGAGAGGTTTATCATTTCCCTGGCTTTACTAGAAATTACCTGCCAGATATAATTGCAGTAAATAAAACTTGCTCCGGAGCTCAGGCTCGTGCGGCTCGAAACAAATGCCTGCAATTACTGCATTTGTGGAGCATGAGCTCAGGAGAGCAGGAACACAGGCAAGGAAATTAGTCTGGGGTCTTAAAAAGCACCTCAGGATTGTAAGTGCCTGTTCCCTGGCAGCTGGTCACCAGTTCCCTGAGGACATTTGGATAAATGCTGCCTTACTGCCCTGGAGAGGAGGCAGCGGCCGTGGGGTGCAGGGGCATCTCCGTGTCCTGTGCCTCCTCCCTGCAGATCCCAGGCTGCTGCTGGGAGCAGGGATGTCATTCCCAGGGCTCTGTGAAGTCCTGGCAGCTGCTCAATTGCTCGATGCCCCTCCATCCTTCCCCCACACAGCAAAGCTCTGCTGCTTCCCCTCAATTCACTGTTTTCTGTAACAGCTCCAGCTGTCACTGACACACGTTGATAGCTCAGAGCCTTCTCCTGCAGGTGCCTTTGCCACTTGTTGACAGCTCTGGCTCAGACACACAGGCCAGAAAAATATTCCAGTTGTGCACAAACCTTGTGTGTGACCAGAGCCTCCCTGGCATCCAGAAATCACGGGAGCAAGTTGGATTTGTGCTTTCAGCCTTTGCTTTCCCTTGGGACCCCGAGCCTGGCTCTGGTGCATGGGGGCAGGAGGGGACAACCAGGAATTTTTGCTTATTAAGAAAAAGGTTTATTTTGGTAACGTGCCCCTACATTTCTCTCAGCACTGTACAGTGAAATGCACACACAAGGAGGGCAATTTCCTACAAGTGGTGGTCTGCAATTAAACAAAAAATCCCCTTTAGTGTTATTTCTAATTAACACTGCTTTTAGATGCTGAGCAGAATGACTGGGAAATCCTGTGTGCTCTTTATTGGCTTCCTAAAGCAAAAGCCTCCAAATCCATCCCCCAGCAAGCCCCAGCTCTGAGGTTACATATCCCTGCACTCACATTGCAATAATCCCTTTCACATTAAAAAATAATGAGCTTCATCTCATTTGCAGATTCTTAAAAGCACCGAGTCCTGTGGTCACTAGGCAATCTGAATGCACATCTCATAAATAGTAAATGAAAACAGAGCTCTCTTACCTTCCCCCAGAAGCAGGGCTGAAAGCTGGGCAGTCCCACAGGGAAATAGATTCCTTTCAGGAAGCTTTCATTCCAGAATGGCTGCAAATCCTGCCCAGGGAAGCTTGTTTGGGGAAAGACAGAGGATTACACCAGACATTTCAAATGTTTGTTCCACTATTCCCATCTTGATAAACCTCTATATAAATGTAATTCTTTCTTGTACTGGAGCAGTTCCAGAGCTCTTGGTAAAACCCAAATCAGTCATTTTTATGGGGAACCTGCACAAGTGCCTGTTTCACCAAAGAGCAAATTTGGGAAGCATCTCCAGCTCAGCAGAACAGAGCAGCTCGCTGGAATGGGAGCCTCAAGGCAGCTGCAACCAGAGAAATGAGATCTGTAATACAAAGCTTGGCCAAAAAAATAGTCTTCTCTGTTTTCCCCCTTTCTTCCTAATATACTTGTTCACTTCTTTTGTAATAAAACCTCCCCAGAACACGCAGTCCCTCATTATGGATGTGTGTGTTCTGCCAAAGCTGTGGTCCAAGGATGAGGTTACTGCAATAATGTGCTCAAGACATCAAGAATAAATCTATTACTTGATTTTTAAAAAAGAAAACCAACAAACCACAACTCTAAAGAAAGGCCTTTAGAATTTAAAAGATATGAAACCAATTAGATTTTATAGGAGCAGGATCTATAGAAGGTGCTCTTGCAGGCATCTGATCACTGCTTAGCGAGGGAGATAATGCTCTCTTAAGTTCTAGTAAATGCTTTAAAAATGCACAGGAAACTCAGATTTTTCACTGATATTTTCCTCTTCTGCTGGATTTACCCTCAGCCTGTGCTCTGACATTCCTCACAGGAGTGTCCAGGAGGCCACTGGTGTCCTTGTGTGGATTCCCAGATCAAAGAGTTTGGGTGTAGGGCTCGGCTGGAATTTGACCCAAGTACCTGGTACTCAGTGGTCCTCCTGGGATGATGGACATTCCCCCACAGCACAGCACATAAATACAGAGGTGGCCTTGCCCAGCAGCCTCTCCTCTGGGGTTGGAAGGTTCCCATGAGGAAGGCACAGCCAGTGTAGCAGGAGGCAGCTCTGCTCATCCATCCCCAAGAGCACCACCAGCAGGTTTCCACAGAACCAGCTTGGACCTACAAACCTCTAAATGTATTGTGAAGATTAACAGGCTTGAGTGATCAACCAGTCCTGGATTGGGGACTCAAAACCTTTGGGTTCAGCTCTCAGCCCTGCCACAAAGTTCTTATCTGAAGGTGGACAAATACAGCTCAGCTCCAGAGGGGTTTGTTCTCCATAGACCAGTCTGGAGAAGCTGTGGCTGCCCCATCCCTGGAAGTGTCCAAGGCCAGGTTGGAGCAACCTGGGCCAGTGGAAGGTGTCCCTGCCCATGGCAGGGGGTGGGGCTGGATGGACTTTAAGGTCCCTTCCAGCCCAAACCATTCTGTGATCCAATATCCCAACCTCTGCCAGTGATGAGCACAGTGGGATGCTGAAATGCAACATGGAGTGCAAACTGTCTGTATCCCTTTGAATCAAACTCCCAGCAGTGCAGGAGCTGGAGGGGCTGTAGGAAATCCAGGAGTCATGGCTGGCAGGGGGCAGAGGGAGATCCAGGGCTGTTGCAGCAGTGGGGGTTCAGGGGCTCCTCTGCTCTGGGATTCAGCATCCCAGCTCCTCAGCTCTGCTCTCTGCATTCACCCCTGGAACATTATCTAAAAGCAGCACATTCCCTTTGATTGAATTTACCGTATGGAAAAATACCTTCTGAGAGTCGCAGCTGTTTCTACAGAATACTCATATTTATTTAGTAAAATAATTGGAAAACTGCTCGTTGTTTAGGTACAAAGTCATTTCCTAAGGCCCATGTTTTTAAATCAGATAGAACAGCCTGAGAACCTGTCACTCTCCCACAATTTCTCCTGAATGTCAGGAACAGCACAGAAATGAGCCATTGTTTTAAATTATTCTGGCTGAAAGAACCCGTATTTTTGTTGTCAAAACCCTGAACTGGCTCTGCCCCGATGCTCCATGTGTTCTCTTGCCCCAGATTAACAGATCAGATAAATTCTAATTTATCCAGGTGGGGTTGTGCCCCCACAGCTGCCCCTTTGGAAGAGCTGGGCTCCAGCCTGGGAGCTCTGGCAGAGCTGCCAGGAAATCACAGGGAGCGTTAACAGGACGAGAGAAGAAGAGGGGACTCGGAGGCTTTGTCCTCGTGGTTAATGACTCGGGGAGGAGGCTGTGCTCACATTAATTGGCTCCAACCTGCAGCCCTGAACTGCAGAAACAGCAACCAACCCCTCGGCTTCTGCAGGAGGAGGTGGGGGCAGCAGGGGTGGGGTCACTCCATGCCAGGGTCCTGCATGGACAGGATGGACATGGGGAATGCTGGGGGGGTGTGCAAGGACAGGCTGTCCCACTGCTGGGCCAGGAGGCACCAGGGTGAGCAAAGATCAGGCCTCGTTGCACTTCTATTTCCAGGACAATAAAACTTCTGATTCCAACAGGAATTGTGTTCCACTCAGCATGTCGGAAGAGCCATCAGTCCAATCTCCTCCCTGGAGAGCAGGAGAATCATGGAATCATAAAATCCCACAATTGAAGGGACCTCAAAGCCCATCCAGTGCCACCCCCTGTCATGGGCAGGGACACCTTCCACTAGCCCAGGTTGCTCCAACCTGGCCTTGGACACTTGCAGGGATGGGGCAGCCACAGCTCCTCTGGGCAACAAGAGAGAAACACGATTTTTGATCTTTTTGATTGAACACTTTCTAATCCAAAGGATTGGGGGTGCCCCTGATGCCACCCTGAATCGCTTTGGGAGGGAACTGTTGCTGCTGCTGCTCACGTAAATCCCTCACACACAGCTCTGCTCTCACAGCCACGTGCATCCTCAAACATTCCCTTGCAAAATACATGTAAGGAAAAGAAATTCCCATGAACCGCCCCCTTCCCAAACCCCTGGCACGTGAGGGTGTCCCGCTGTCCCCAGCACTGCCCCGAGCCCTCCTCGAGCACTTCAACTGCAGCCACTGTCACCCTGGTACAGACACCTCCAACTGCGCCCTGACCAGCCACATTCCAGGGCTCCAGGAGGCAGCTCAGCTGATTAAATTTGTACTACAGCCTGGAGGAGGCTTTAATGGGAAGATCAGGGAAGCAATCACGCACCTGGATATTTCTAGATGCCCTCCGGACATTCCAGCTCAATCCCACTGCCTAAGCGTGTTTGCAGTGTTTATGCAGGGAAGAAATAATGCAAAGGAAATTAAAAATTAAAGGTGTGAGATCGCGTGTTTTTCGCCATGAAGCACACAACTCAGTTTTTACAACCCACTTGGGTGGTACCTGCTCTTCATATCAACTAGTCCAGCTCAACTTTCCTGGCTAGCTCCAATTATCAGGGAGAATGGTTGGAAAGGACCTTAAAGACCACTTCATCCCAACCTCCCTGCCAGGAGCAGGGACATCTTCCACTACACTGCTTAGAAGATTAGTCACTGATATCAAGGCAGCACATCCCACAAGGTTATCCCAAATGTGTAGAACACGGGGCTGAGTATTGATAATTTATTTTTATTTATGTAGGACACGGCACTAACACTGACATTTCTAATGTGTTTGGAGCATTACACAAACAGAAGGATTCTTGCCTGCTTAGCATTACACATTATGCATCTGTCCTACACTGTGCCAGCTTTCCCTGCCGCTGGATTTTCACAGTGGTAGGAAATAACAGGGATAAAGGGATTAAAAAGCAATGATTTCCAGTAAAGCCTTATAGGACATGTCTGCTATGATCTCAGCTTACTTGTCTCCTCTACACCAGTAAAACACTCTCGTAGTAGACAGATTTATGGATTAAATGCAGATGAGTGTGTAAAATAAATATTTTGCTTATAGCCTCTACACACTTTCCAACATTCCCTGTGACTATAATGGCTTCTGAAGGCTCTTTCCAATGGGGTGATTTGCAGTTCAGAAGTTAAAGTCAGGGCCCTCCTCTGGCTCCGGTGCCAGCGAAAGGTCAGGATTGGAGTGCAGTGTTTAGCAATTCCAAATAATTGTATCCAGACTTCAAACATGCCATGCTTTGTCACAGCTGCCACTTAAGGTAAAATTGAATTTAAATTATGTTTATCTTTGTATTAATAGAGCTACAGTTCAGGCTAAAGCCACGAGGAACCCAGTTCTCAGAGCGGTCTCTGCTTCCTCCCAGGGAGGAAGAGCACAGGGACTAAGGGCACTGAGGGCACTGAGGGCACTGAGGGCACTGAGGGCACTGAGGGCATTGAGGGTCTACAACCACAACAGGTAGGGGAGGGAAGTTCAAAGGCTGTGAGCCCTCGTTTACAGAGGAGGAGCAGTTCAGCAGCTCAGCCAAGGCCATGCCTGTGTCTGTAACAGACCCAGGGACTGAACCAACACCCCTGAATCACAACTGCAGAGAAAAACCCCAAGTGACTCCTGGTACAGCTCCCTGTGCTCACCCTTGGCCCAGGTGCCCGTTCCAGGAGCACAGGACCCCAGACACTGCTTTGCCTGGCACAGGGGGCAGCCAGGTGTGACCCCAGGAAATCCAGAACTGCCACCCATCCCTACACGCACGGGAGAAGCTTAAAATGAACATTATTTCCATTAAAAACAGAACTGTCACTACACTGCTACAAAACAATGCTGCCCAGCCCCCAGCACATGCACACACAATATATTCATTAATATAGTGTAGAGTTCCCCAAATTCCCACTGTATCCATTGACCTTGAGCACAGGATTTTTGTTGTGGATCGCTGATCCCTGGAGTAAAATGGATTTCCAGCAGCCTCAGATCCTTCCCCACATGTGGGGAGGGTGAAGTGACCTCCTTTACCTCCTTTACCTGCTTTACCTGCTTTACCTTCAGGCTGCTTTTCCCTGAACACAAACCTTTGACCTTCACGCTGCTCTTTCCTGGACACAAACCTTTGTCTCAGAGGTAGAATGAAAGCAATAAAGGATGGGTTTGGTGTGTTTGTTGTTTTTGCTAAACATGCCCCTATGCAGCAAACATCCAGCCAAAATTTTAAATATGTACGTTTACATGCTGTGCAGTAATTTCATTTA